CCCACTTCTGATACTAATTTTCTGTTTTAGTTACTTGTTTGTTGCTGTGGTCAAATACATGATAAGAAGCAACTTAAAGGGGAAAGGATTTATTTTGGCTGCTAGTTTGAGAGGATTAAATCCACTGACCAGGGCAGCATGGCAGGCAGCAGGAACCTAAAGTCACACTGCCTGTACAGTCAGGAAGCAGAGAGCAGGCCAGAGTAGGGCCAGGCTATAAAACCTCAAAGCCCTATTACAACTCACTTCCCACACAATGCCCTACCTTCTGAAGCTTTTAAAACCTTCCAAACAGTGCCCTGAGTTGGGGACTAAAGATCAAACATATGGGTCTATGGGGACATTCTGTATTTAAACCACAACAATGACCCATGGATTTATGAGTGAAAAAAAAATGCTTTGTGTGCCAAGAAGTAGGGAAATGTCTAATAATTTCTAACACAGAAACTTACTTACTTAATGCTGTCTTATTTGTGGGGCCGGGGAATTGAATCCCGGGCTTGGCCCACGCTTAGGCAAGCACTCAACCACTGAGCCACATCCCTAAGCCAGCTGACTGCTCACTGTGACAGTTTCCTGAGGACTGTTGATCTTCAGATCCCATCCATCAAAGTCACATTCATATGTAAATGGAACCCTTTTTGTGTGTGTGTGTGTCAGAACATTGCTAACTTGACTGAGTGAGGTGCACGTTCAAGTAGATTTCCCATGAAATACTTAAACAGAATAAACAGCTCTTGGCCACAAAAAAAATTATGTAACGGTATTATGAGAATTTTTAAGGAAATGATTGCAAGTAATTGTAGTTCCATCGACAGAACCAGTTTTCATAATTGAGACCATTAGAACCAAAATGTTAGCATGACAAAAGGATTTGAGTCCCTACTGGTTAGCCTCCTATTTGGAAACAGTAGTTAATAGAACAGAATCTGAGTACCGCAAGGAAATGTGCTGTTCCTTGGGATTCTGACAAGAGGCCATGTGATTATATGGCGACATATTTTCTGCAAGGTAACTAAAAAGAGAGGGACATTCTCTCCGGGGTTCTGGTGTTTCTCTCGTGGCTCTGAAGATGACCACGCTTTCGTCATTCCCGCTGTACTGTGCAAACTGCCCTTCTGACATTTAGGTCAGTTATGTATTGATTCTGTGACTAAGGTTCCTCGTGGGTAGCATGAGGTTGCTGGATAATCATCCATTCTCGTCTGTCCTCATGAGCACATATCAGTTTCAGACTTCTTTTCCCTAATTTTGCTTTGATCACCAATCCTTTATTTCTAGTCTCTTACACGCCAAGCGTTTTACTCGTCGTTGGAGATAACAATAGTAAGCCATGAGATGTGGTGGTATTTCGTTTGTGCTGTAACAAATAAAGCTTGCCTGAAGATCAGAGTGCAGAGCTAGCCACAATAGTTAGCCGTAGAGGCCAGGCAGTGGTGGCATACACCTTTAATCCCAAGACTCGGGAGACAGAGGCAGGTGGATGGATCTCTGTGAGTTCAATTTTGAGTTTGCTTCTTTCATGTTCCCCTTTTCTTTGCAGAAGTAATATAAAACCAATCCTGAAGATTAGTTTATCTCACTCCTTATATTCAATATAAACCTTTTTCAATTAAAAACTCTTATCGTAAACTGCCAAAGTGCCAAACGTAGTCTAAATATGTCTTACCACATGGTTTGTTTTTAGGCCACCCATCCTTTTCCAAAGGAAAATTTATTTTGTGTTAAGGAATACTATCAGTTCCTTAGTGTTCGTTTGCGCTACCGTGGCAGACTGCCTATGCTTGGGTGATTTATAAAGAAAAAAAGCTCTATCTGTCTTTCAGTTTTGTAGGCTGTGAAGTCCAAGCCTAAGGCAGCAGGTTGATGTCTGCTAAGGACAGTCTCTGCTCCACAGATGACCGCCTTGGAGGCTGTGACCACCAGGGGAGTGCTCTTTCTCAAGCATAGGAAAAGCAGAAGGGACCGGTTCTGCCAAGTACTTTTCATAGCCGCAGTCCATTTGCCAGGGCTAAAACCTGTAGTAGCTAAACACGGCCAGGACTCACCTGCCAATACTGGAGCACTGAGGAATGAACTAATTCTCACGTGAGAATTTAGAGGAGACACAAACTCTCTGACTGTAGCACTCGGTCACAGAATTTCTCACTAGAGGCACGGTCGAGAAGAAAGCTTTCCTGCAACCTACTGCAGCAGAGAGGTAGAGTCCGGAGTGGGAGGCTTTGAATTACGCTTCGGGGGATGCCCTTACGTGGGAAGAGCACATGTTTTCCTTGCTGACTAGCAAGTAGAACCGGTAGCTGGAACTTAAGCATTTTGACCTATGAACCTACATACCATGTAAAAGTGGGTAAGGCGTCCACCAAAGAAACACTTAGATCCCTGATGGGCACGGAGGTGCCTGGCCAGTTGTGAACTAAGTCCCTCTCTTCTAAACTTCAAATCAATGTTAGTTATCTTGGTTTCTAATTATTTTAGCACATATAGCTAAATTAACCATAAATGACACATATTTCCATCGTGGTAGCTCTAGACACGGAAACTTAGGTTAGCTCTGAGCTAATGCTCTTCACCTAATATTCTACTAACTGAGACACAGCCCCTAAAACCTACTGCTTTAAAGTGATACGTGTTCACCTCCCCAAATGCCTTTCCCTGGAAACCATCCTCGCTATCTAATCAATGTCTTTTCTGCCATCTTAACTGGTAGGCTGTCCAAATAGACCCAACCTCTTGCCTCTTAAGAGAAACATTTTGTTGCTGTCCGGCTAACAAGGATTTGAAGGAGACTGCAAGAAGCCCGAACTACGGAGAGTGGCGCAGAAACGGGATACTAGAGTGGTCTGGTGAGCCGCTGAGAGCTCTAAACACACATCACAGATTTCAGCCAGCTCTGGGTGAACGTCCTGAGCTGTCACAGCGGGCGTGTCCTCAGCCACAGACGAAAGCACACGTACAGAAGTTCAAACACTGTCAACAGTTCCAAGCCTAAGAGTTTTCTCAAGTGATTTACAGCTGGGAAGCTAGCCCCGATGACACGGTGAAATAGGACCAGGGCGTTAAAGAACTCAAACATGGGGTTTTCATTTGTTAAGCAAACACTGTGACATTTCCTCACTCTTCATCTTATACTTTAAAAAATAAAAAAAGAAAAAGACCTTTGGTAGCGAAGGAAAGGATTAAGGTTTCTTTCAAAGATGCAAGCAGGTTTCCAATATTCCAAACATTCAAGCTACGTACAGGAGGGAAGTTCATTTTAAAATGCGCATAGAGGCCCTGGATTTGATGTTTTCTTTTCTTTTTGATATGGACTGTTGCGCAGGCTTGCATGTCATCCTTATGGTGTGGTCACACTGAACTCTGCATCGTCTCAGTCCTGCTGAAGAGAACACAGAACACAGAGATGCTGCCGAAGGGACAAAAATACTATTTTTTCACTATAAAAGTATCCATCGAAATCACCAGTCAAGTCTACCTTCTTTCTTCCACGCCAGGGAATGAACCTAGAGCTTCGCATGTATTGACAAGTGTTCTGCCAGTGAGCTACATCCCCAGCGACACATTTTACCTTAATGAGGTGTGAGGGACAGCATCCTCAACCGCCGTGCTGTTGCCCAGTGACGGATGCTCTGGAATTCCAGGCTTGCTGCCATTCACCTGATCATAAGTTTAGAAAATTGCTACATTACTATATGGCGTGTATGAGAGCATGACATCAATTAAAGTATGGCAAATCAGGGGCTGGGAAGATGTTTCAGTGGTTGAGATCACTGGCTGCTCTTCCAGAGGACCCAGGTTGATGGCCAGTACCCAGAGGGCTGCCTACAACTGTCTGTAACTCCAGTTCTAGGGGATCTGATGTCTTCTTCGAAACTCCTCAGGCACCAGGCATGCATGCGGTACACAGACATGCATGCAGACAAAACACTCATAGACATAAAATATATAAACTTAAATAAACATATAAAATAAATTCAAAAGAATACTGTAAGTCTTATACTTCTAAGAAATTAATGGAAAAGAATTCCTAGTAAAGAAAGCATAGAAAAGAGATAAAATCCCACTTTATAGCTCACACATTAAGAGAAGACTTTACAAGTACCAGAAACAGTAAACCATAATTCAGAGGCCAATTTCCCCTTTCAATGTTTATACATATCATTGTAGACCGTATCTTCTAAAAGTGGCTGAAACAGTACGGCATGTCCCAGGGCTCTCTTCACAATTCGACTTTAACGGGAAGATGGAGTGTATGTCCTTTCCCCGCTAAACCTTGGCAAACACTTATGATTGCATCAATCCAGGCTTTTCTCTCAGGCTGTGTCAAGTAGACAATCTAGGCGAAGCAGGAGAGAAGCTAGGGTGATGGTTGCTATTGTCAACTTGACAGAATCTAGCGTCACCTAAGAGACAGGACTAGGATCACCTAGGAGATAAACTCTAGGCATGCCTGGGGGGTATTATCTAGGTTACATTAAGTGAGATGGAAGGACCTACCTTGAGTGTGGGCAGCACCATTCTGTGGGCTGGGATCCTAGACTTAATAACAGAGCGACCATAAGCTGGGCATTAGCACTCACCGTTCTCTGCTTCCTGGCTGCTGACGTGATGTAACAGTATGACGTCCTCATCAGGCTGAATTCTACCCTGAACTGTGAGCTGAAACAAACTCTGTCTTCCTTAAGTTGTGTTTGGCCAGGGTATTTGTCACAGCAATGAGACGCATAGTTAATAGAAGCCATGACATCAACCAGTTCAAAAGTATCTCTCCATCATGAAATAAAAACAGGCCGGGGTGTAGTTCGGTGATACAGTGCTTGCCTGCCATGGATGAGACGTATCGTCACAAAAATGGATGAGACATAAAAGAATTGCCATTCACAGACCCTGTCTTTTTGTTGGGTTTAGACTTTCGTCTTCAGGAAGTTTCCCCAAAAGTCCTGTCGTCAGCCGAGTAAGTGTTGTTTTGTTTTTTGCTTAAAGTTCATGAGTAGTATCTTTCCTGAATCCCAACGTCGCTGAGCTTTTAGGTCAAACGTTGTTGCTCTCAAACCAACCCATCATCTTCTTCGTAAATCTGAACCTTCCGAGGGAACAGAAACGCAAATGCTGCCAAGTGTTAAAACGTGATGAATCTGGTCAAGGAAAAAAAAAAGTTCTTCTTTGTAGGATTCTTACAACTGAACACTTGAAATTACTTAAAGATAAAAAAGTTGCTTGCTGTGGCAGTACAAATTCTTAATCCCAGCACTTAGGAGACAGAGGCAGGTGGATCTCTGTGAGTTCCAGGTCAGCCAGGGCTACACAGTCAGACTCTGTCTCAAAAACAAATTAAAAGGAGGAAGAGATGGGAAGGAAAGGAGGGAGGGAAGAAGGAAGGAAGGAAGGAAGGAAGGGGCTGGAGAGATGGCTTGGTAGTTAAGAGCACTGACTGTTCTTCCCAAGGACCAGCACCCACATGGCAGCTCACACCTGTCTGAAATTCAGTTCCAAGGAACCTGACATCCTCACACAGACATACATACAGGCAAAACACCAATGTACATGAATTTTAAAAAAAGAAAGAAAACAAGAAAAGGCATTTAAGAGACAAGGACTAGAAATTATAACTGAATCTACCACACATTTCTCATGAATGCATGAATGTTTGTTGTTATTGATACTGAAGCAATTCTGAATAATATTTCATTCTAATGTCCTCAGCTTTTCTCTCAAGCCAATCGATACTATTTAGGCTTTCTTTATGCCTTCTTTATAGATATTTTTTTGTCTTCTCAATATCCAATTTCTCTCTTTCTTTTTTTGAGATAGGGTTTTTCTGCATAAGGGTGGCTGTCCTGGAACTCGCTCTGTAGACCAGGCTTATCTCAAACTCACAGAGATTCACCTGCCTCTGCCTCCCAAGTGCTGGGATTAAAGACGTGCGCACCACTGCCTGGCTCCAGTTCTCTTTCTTAAGTGTTTCCTCTAGAGACTCATTCTTCTCCTGTTTGGGATCTGGTGTTAGGGTTCAATGTGATCATTTCATGATTGCACAGGTAGGAATAACAGATCAAGTCAGCATTGTGTAGATGGGAAACAGAACGCTCTTGAGATTCTTGAAGGAGTTAAGTCCTAGGTATTTGCATCTGCAATCCTAGCAGCTTCGAGGCAGAGGAAGAAGATTTCTGTGCATTTGAAGCCAACCTGGAGAAGTTCTAGGGGCTGGAGAGATGGTTCAACAGTTAAGAGCATTGGCTGCTCTTGCAGAGGACACATACATGGTGTCTCACAGTTGTTATAACTCCAGTTCCAGGGTATCTGACACCCTCATCCAGTCTTCTAAGGTGCCAATCACACATGAGGTACACATACATTCATACAAGCAAACATTTAAACACTTACAATTAAACATAAATAAAAAAAATAAGTCCCGGACCAGCCAGAGGTATATAGTAAGACTCTGTCTCAAAACACAAACAAATAATTAAAGGAAAAAGTCCTAATTAATATTGAAAATTGATTATGGCTTTTTTCCTTAAAAGAGAATTTGCATGTATTTCAAATATATATTTCAAGTATATATATTGTTCAGGATGGGTTTTTGACAAAAAAATTTATTTTCTGCAAAAATGTCACCATTCTTCCTCCCTTCCTCCCTCCCTCCCTCCCTCCCTCCCTTCCTCCCTCTCTTAGTACTCTAGTTCTCTAGCTCAAAAAGATGATTCCTCAAATCAAAACATGATATAGGGATAGGGTAATCCAAAATGAAGTCCTGAGTAGTGGAACCATTTTCTTTCAAATTTTGTTCAGCCGAAATACTGCAACAGATGACTTTCTTTATTCTCCTTCTGTGGACTACAGAAATGATCAAATAAGCAATCCCCAAGAGACCCATAAAAGGGGGCACCGTACCGAGAGGCACAAACCACCAAACACTTCCTGATTTCTTTGTGCACAGCACAACTCCTGGCCTTGGAGCGCTACCTTTTTTTTTTACTCCAGGAAAAGGACTGATACGCTCATAATTTTATCAGATCAATCTGTGGTTTTAAAAAATGGAACCTAGATCCACCTGCACTGGGGTCATGACATTGGGGGTGGGGGCATCTTTCTCAGATGCAAGTGGTTATTGCTGTCTAGTGGCTGGAGAAGACCTAACATTCACTTTTTCCATCTTGATTCTTCTCTACTTTGCTTGAAATGCTGACACCCAGCTCAGTCAAAGTACAAACTAAATGTAAAACGAATCATACCTTCTTGCTATGGAATATTATTTTAACTATGTAAAGATGTGTTCCATTTGTTTAAGTTGTGGAATATTACTTTAACCATGGAAATGTGTGTCGTATTTGGTTATCCTGCCTTTGTTTAACTATGTGAAAATGTGCTTTTGTTTATGCTGCATTTAATTATCTAAAGATGTGTTGCTGTTTCACCTTGCCTGCCTAAGGCACCTGATTGGTCTAATAAAAAGCTGACCAGCCAATAGCTAGGCAGGAGAGAGATAGGTGGGGCCAGTGGGCAGAGAGAGTAAATAGGAGGAGGACTCTAGGAGAGAGGGAGAGAGAGAGAGAGAGAGAGAGAGAGGGAGAGAGAGAGAGAGAGAGAGAGAGAGAAGGAGAGAGAGAGGGCCAGGCAGTCAGGTAACCACCAGGCAGTCAGACACAGGGGGTAGGGCATACAGAATGAAGGCCAAGAGAAACAGTTTAAATTAATTTATAAGAGTGAGCGGGACAAGCATATGCTAAGGCCAAGTATTCATAACTAATATTAAGTTTCCATGTCTGTATTTGGGAGCTGGTTGGCCTCTCTCTGTGTTCTCACCAGCTGCACTGCCCTCTTTGGGACCGGCTTACCCACCAGGGATTTCCAGTTGACTCCCCAGTAGACTCTTGCCTCTTCATCTGCCTTTCTAGGTCCCCAGAGACTGATCTAATGCTCTTGATCCATCCCTCCTCTTTCTTTCTTTTTGTCCACCTTTTTTTTTTTTTTTTAAGTGAACGAAGCCTTTAGATTTGCTTCAGTGTTTCTTCTCGCCCAGCGTCTCCCCTGGCAGGTGGAGGCCCTTGGGTGGTATCTGGTGGTCACCGTTGAATCCCACCCTGACTGGTATTTGCTCCTTGGAGGTGAAAAAAATAAATGTTTTATAAAGCTCAAATTGGCCTTATCAAACAAAACATCTGCTAGATCAGTGAATGACAGGTGACAGCAGGAGACATCCGCGCTGGCCTCTCCAATAGAAGTCACGGCAGTTAATGGAAGCTATTATGGGAAAATTCTGTCAAGAAGTTTTCCTTTTCTTTTTTTCTCCTCCAGACAGCTAAAAAAAATTTTAAAGGGAAAAAAAAATGTATTCAGTTGCTAGGGTAACGTGTGGTTTCAAAACTACCGTAACAAAAGCCAGATATCACATATCAAACTACCAAATTGTTAATTTGACTGGTATTTTAAAATAACTCCTTGAAAGAGATATTTGCTCCTTAGCCTGCCTTGTAGAGCGAAGGCGAGCAGAGACTGTGGAGTGGATGAAGAAGAGGAAAAAAATGAATTGTGATTCTTTGAGAAATTCTTTTATCTCATTAAATATTTGTTAGACATAAAAATCTGCTCACGCTACAGACACAAGGACATGCAGGAATCGCCTCGTCACGCAGAGTGACTATTTTCAATGTTTCTTCTGGTTTCAAACCCTGGCTGGGTTTTAAGTGCATGGTGTTCTGTGGTTATTTGCTAAATCCGGTTGCTTAGGAGAGCCATGCTTACGCTGAAGCCTGTGGGGTGACTAGGTTCCCCTGTGCCTTGTTTTTTCATCATTTGACTTAAAGGGAATATAAAGCCTATACAGCAGATAAAAGGGAATATAATAAAGCCTATATAGCAGATAAAAGGGAATATAATAAAGTCTATACAGCAGAGGCACTAGAGTTATAAGGAGCTGGAACCAAATTCTTTTTCTATTTGTTTCTAAATTTTTCTAACCTCTCTGACCCTTGATTTCTTCATTTTAAAAATGAGTATCAGGACAATGACTCATGTCAACAAACTGCAGGAGAAAAAGTGGTGACTCTGTTTAAAAAGTGGGGGGAAAAGGGAGGGAGAGAGATGTCAGAATTCCTTTAAAAAATATCTCGATCAGCTAGGCAGTGGTGGCGCACGCCTTTAATCCCAGCACTCAGGAGGCAGAGGCAGGCAGATCTCTGGGAGGTCGAGGCCAGCCTGGTCTACAGAGTGAATTCCAGGATAGCAAGGGCTGTTACAGAGAGAAACTCTGTCTTGAAAAAAAAACAAACAAAAATTTTTTTTGATCTAACAAAAACAATTAAAAGCATGATTTATAAGAGTCCAGGTGTACTTGAACATTGATTAGATATTTAATACTATAAGGAATTATTACAAATGTGTTTAAATATGATGATAACATAGTATTGTTAGTTTTTAAATATCTTTTCACGTATATGTAATATAGATAATTAATATAGTATCTGAGATTTGACTTAAAATGAAGCAAGAGGAGATGGAAATAGCAGAAAAAGAAATTTGGACCCAAGATGACAATGGTTGGCACTGGATGATGGATGGCATCTTCTCTACTTTTCAATATGTATTTAACACTTTGTATAGTAATGGTCTAAAGGAAGAGAATGAGCTGGAGAGGTGGCTCAGTGGTTAAGGTCAGCATGTAGGCTCTTCCAGAAGAATCACCTTCTATTCCTAGCATCCACATCAGATGGCTCACAACCACATATAACTCCAGCTCCAGGGCACCTGACACCTCTGGTCTCTGTGGGCACCTGCGTCCACGTGTACACACACTAACATACACAATTAAAAATGATAATTTTTAAATAAGGAAGAGATCAGTAACGTCGATGTTAAAATTATTGTGTGAAATAAATAAGATGCTGAGCACAAAGCATGTGCCAAAATGCCTGGGGTATAATAATTGCTCAATAAATGTCAACTGTTGCTCCTAGAAACAAGACCTCTACTTTCTTTTTTTCTTTTTTCTTTTTTGGATTTTCGAGACAGGGTTTCTCTGTAGCTTTTTTGGTTCCTGTCCTGGAACTAGCTCTTGTAGACCAGGCTGGCCTCGAACTCACAGAGATCTGCCTGCCTCTGCCTCCCGAGTGCTGGGATTAAAGGCGTGCGCCACCACTACCCGGCAAGACCTCTACTTTCTATGTGCAAAAATTGTGGAAGCTAGGGATAGGCATGGTAGCATACACATTCAACTCCAAAAGGACTGCAAGTTAGAGCTAGCCTGAGCTAAATAGTGAGTTCAAGCCCAGTTTGAGATACATGGCAAAACCTTACCTCAAAAAAAGGGGGGGGGGCTGGAAATTGGCTCAATGATTAACAGTCATTACTGCCCTTGCAGAGGACCAAGGCTCAGTTCCCAGCATCCACACTGAGTGGTTCACAACCACCTATAAGTCTTTTTTTTTCTTTTTTCTTTTTTCTTTTTTTTATTTTCAAGACAGGGTTTCTCTGTGGCTTTGGAGCCTGTCCTGGAACTAGCTCTTGTAGACCAGGCTGGTCTCGAACTCACAGAGATCTGCCTGCCCCTGCCTCCCGAGTGCTGGGATTACAGGCGTGTGCCACCACCGCCCTGCACCTATAAGTCTTATAAGTACAGTAACACATGCCTTTGGCCTCCTCAGGAACTCTGTACACGCCTCCCCACAAACATTTACAAATAATAAACAAACAAACAAATAAAAACAATCTTTAAAAACTAGAACAAGTCAGGCATGGTGGCGCACCCCTTTAGTTCCAGTACTCGGTAAAGCAGAGGCAGGCAGATCTCAGAGGCAAACTTAGAGGACATCTTGGTCTACACAGATACATAGAGGGACCTAGTCTAAAACAAAACAAAACAAAACAAAACAAAAAAAAAAAAAAAACAAAAAAAACCCTCTAAATCAAATCAAAACCCAAAGCAAACTAAACCACCACTACCACCAAACGCTTCCTAGAATCCACTGAACACTTGACTTACCGCCTTCCAAACAAGCATCCTGGCTGCAAGGGAGCTGATACAGGCTCATCTTCCTGTCCCCTCACCGAGAATCTGCTGTGCCCTGGGCCATTGGCCTTGTTGAAGTCTTAGCGTCTTAGCTGTGTGTGGAACATCCTAGGAAGTAGGCCAGACCTTTTCATTCTCAGTGAGCACTGAGACATTGCCAGTACTTTCTCTGCCTAGTTTTACTTAGCCTTTACAGCAACAATCCTTCGAAACTGAAATTCTCAGCTGTGTTTTGGAAAACAGACACCTGACAAACGTTTAGACTGGGCCTGGACCAACCCTCTAAGGGGTGGGCCCTTAATGCCTACTCCTCCTGAGACTTCCAAGGGCCATGGGCCCACCCAGGGGACCTGACTGCCCGCCCTCTTATCCCTTTTGCCTTGTTCTAACTGAAAATGATCACAACTCAGAAAAGGTTAAGTTAACATTTGCAGCCCCAAGAGTCTAAGACCATGTCCAGTTGCCCTGTGAGAGGCGGCACTGGAGTGTATCAGTATAGTCAAAGATCTTCATGTATGATAAGGCCGCATGGGCTTAAAAGTGGCTTGGGCCTGCTAAGGGGAGGTTCAGAATGGGATAATAGAAGGAAAGGCTGTCGGGATTGGACTGACATTTGTGTTTAATTTTCCTCTTGCTGAAAACGCTGAGCAGGCTCTTAAGGAAAGGACAGCAAGAGAAGTGACCAGGGCCAAAAACGAAAAACTGTTAGCTGCCACTCCATTCTGTGGCCCCAGTTCACGCCTCTGTTACAGCTTGATCTAGCACAGACACCCTAATCTCGCAAGTGAGGAGCTGACTTCAAACTACTTTATTTAAAAAGCCAGACCATCTCTAACAAGATGGACGTCCGGCTCTAACTGGAGTTACTCCTGAAAGCAGAGAAAGAAATTCCCTGCAAATGGCCTGAGAAAGTATTGCTCCTCAGACTTGAGGATCAGCCTCCAGAGTCTCATTCCACAGCCTCTGGGAATATTCCCAGCTAACCCTTTTCCAGCCAGGTTCAGAGGCGGCGGGGGAGGGGGGGGGGGCGGGGGGGGGGGCGTCCAGTCCAAGGCCACTCCCAGAACCCAGAAGCTGGAGGAAGCCCAAACCAGCCTTGGCTGAAGAAGACCGCCCATTCCTTGAGGCGATTCCCTAGTCTTCTAGTCTCTGGGTTTAGATCCTCTTAATTAGAAAACAATAGCTACTCGTGAAGCGCCAGTACCGGCGCTTTACCGCACCCAAGCTCAGCACACTCTCGCTCCAACCCCAGGGCATGGAACCACACACAGCTGAGTAGAACAAGAAGCCCACCGCGCGTGGAGAGCGTGGGACAACCCGCCTCCAAAACCCCTCCCCCTCCCACGAGGACCCGCCGAGTAGGGAACCCCCTCCTCACTGCGGCAGATTCCAGGGGAGGGTTCCAGAAGCATTGCAGAGGGAACGCTGAACGTTGGCTTTTGCAGCTTGGAAGTTTAGGATTGTGCCCAGATCCGTCTCAGGCTTTTGGGTCGAGGACAGGAAGCGCGCACGATGTCACCGCCCGTGAAGTTCTTTTGCTCGAAACGAGCAGGCCTTCGATTCCTTGGAGGGTGGAGATTCCTCGGGTTCCCTCCTCCTGCTGCCCCCGGGTCGGAGAAAAGATGTGGAATTAGGATCGAGTTGAAAATTCCGCGTGCCCTGTAATTACGCACACCCTGAAATTTTCAGCGTTGACTTAAGTTACTTGGCGCTGCGAGGGCTGGGGCCCTGCATATTGATGAAACGCAACCTCTATTTACCTAAACAATAAATGTAGAGATTAGAACAGTCACTTGATCACAATAACCGGGTTGACGACTAAGGGGCAATGCACCCAGATGTAACTGAGCCTATGGAGGGCGTGCAAGACGGGTGTCTTGCAGAGGACCCTTAGATGGGAGCAGGGGTAGCCACCGAAATACTCAACGTGCTGCGCTGAGGGAAGCTGAGCCGGTTACCAGGTGGAGGAGAGGTCCAGCCACCCATGGAGGCCACCCCGCCAGAGGCTTCCTTCCAGGCGCTTTTGAGAGATCTGAGCGTCCCCGCCCGTCCGAACTCGCAGGGATGTTTCTGGAGCTCCAAGTCTGCCTCTCCACGTCGTCACCTGCCTTAAGGCCGCCCAGCTCGCTGACGCCTGGTTGGGAACGAAGATGGATGCCCCTGGCGTGTGCTCGGTGAGTCTGTCCGTGTCAGCAACTGTATCTTTTGCTTGCGGTCCTGGGGAAGAGTAAAGACGCGAGAAGCACGTGCCTAAAGCGTGTGGTGCTGCCCTTATACCACTCAACATCCCAGGGACAGAGTCCGGGTGCTCTCGGGTTTTCTAGGGACACAGGGTGTGTGTAACACCAGTGAGTGGTCTAACAGAAGGCTGGCCCACCAGGGATGGGCTCTAGAGCAGCTGAAACCCAGAAAACATGGGATTTGTCTCGGCAACGTCACGGGGGCGCTGAGTCCTCTTTGGGAAAACTCTTGGCCCACACAACCCACCTCCCTTCTCTGCCTCTAGGAGTTGTTGGGCCTTGAGAAGGGATTTCAGGCGGGGTAGTGGTGGTGGTGGTGAAGATACTTACTCAGAGAAGAACTCAGCAGGGTGCCATCTGCAAAATTAAGGTCAGAGGACAACCTCTGGAAGTGGGGGTTGGGGCATGGGGGTTGGGGTCTGTTAGGGAGAGAGCATGGTCCATTTATACTTTCCCAATCCTGGGCTTCCGTGGAACACGGGCTGCAAAAGATACATGTTTGCTGTTTCTCTGCTCTTTCCCTCTTCCTTCTGCACACCACCATCAACCCTTGAAGGCTTCTCATTCCACACTTAGACCTAAGCAAAAGGATTTGTGATAGACCCGCGTGAACCAAGATGAAGCTCTTTCCTGCCAAACTAAGGTAGGGAACATCCCCTACCCAGGCTCTATGGACAGACTCTGGGGACAGAATTAGAGAGGACCAGGGAGGTCAGGAGGCAAAGAGACCCAGAGAGACCTTTTCCTATGAAGGGAGGAAGGGGGAGAGGAGAAGGAGGAACCTGCAGGGACAGAGTTAGATGTGAGTATGGGCTGATCTAAAGGTAATCACCTAGAGTCTTCCCAGCGCCTGGCCTCCCCCTGCATTGCCGAGCTGAAGGTGCGTGCACCAGGAGGAAGTTAGACAAAGGGAATCCTCCTTCGGGATGGGTGATGTGTGTCTGTCTTCTCCTAACAGACTCTGGGGAAAAAAAAAAAAAAACTGGCAGGAATGTCCTTGTTGTGAGGAGCCGATGAATGTCCGCGGCGAGTAGATAGCTACAAAGCGACTTTGGACCAGGCAGGGGAGGGCAGCTTTGATCGCTTCAGCTCTGCTGTGATTTTGTCTCTGCTGTGTAGACAAACGGGAAGAGTCAACCCTAAGGAGGATTTCCCTCCCTCCTCACTCCTCAGCGGCATCTTCCCTCCAGAGCTGTTGCCTGGCTGTTGCTCCTCCCCAGTCTGGCCTGAAATTTCAAGGGCTAATGGTGTGTGTTCCTGCCATAATTAGGAGGCCATGCAGCAATCCAACACCGGTTAAGACAAACATGTAAGTCATCCTTGTGGGGAAAGACTGAGAAAGGGAGGCAGCTGGGACCCCTGTTGGTAGTATCTTCAACCAGGGGAGGGGCATTTCCGTGACCCTCTGCTGCTTCTGGCCTTGGTCTTCTTCGGTTTTCCTTAAAAAGAAGAAACGTGGGCAAAGAACAAGCATCTCGCCACCCACTGGACAAGCTGAGGAACCTGTGTCTTGGCTTGAAAAGTTATCTAAGTCACTGGTGGCTCTGAGCTGAGAAGAGCAAGGATCTGGGTCCCCTACCCGGCACAGCAGTACCACGTCTATAAAGGATGCAGAACCTCTTTTTCCACCCTTGTAAATCAGCCATTCACATTGTTTAAGGTACGTTGATCAATTTAATGGCTTGTAATAGGTTCCCAATTGTCATTTGCAGAAGCCTGCAGGCTCACACTTGAGTAGGGTGAGTTCTCAGTCCTCCTTAAGCCCCAGGCTGGTCATTGCAAAACCCAGAAAGAGCACCCAACCTTGGTGCCCAGGAGAGGGAGGGTTGCTAGGGATGTCCATCGGCTAAATTGGACTTCCACACAACATTTCCAGGGTAAGCAATGTCAACCAAAACACATTTGTCACTACCAGGAACCTTCTGCATCGACATCCCTTACTGTTATAGTTACAGTAAAAACTTGACTAGTCACAAACCAATATGCTCCTGGTCATATCTTTTTCTTATTTCGAACGGTAGTGATAAGGAATGATTTGAAGGGGATTGTTGAAGGGAGGAAAGGGGAACTTTCCCAGGAGAGCTCTGGAAATAGGCTTCTTACAGGTGGAGTGTCTTCCTTCTCTGAGTTTTAGATGAAGGGAGGAAAGAGCTGGAAGGTGAAGCCTCCTCTCGGGCTACCTAAGAAGTACTTAAACTAAAACTAGTATGCTGGCCAGGAGAGGCCTCAGGACATCTCTATTAGGTTCAGATAAAAACGAAGCGCTCTCACAGTGGCTGCAAGGATGGTTCTCTTATGCTGTTGGAGGCAACACGTGAACATCATTTGGGTCGAATCTCTCTCAGAATGAAAACTGACTCTCTTCTCACTTTGCTTTGGTCTGGGACTCCTTCCTAGCGGTTGGGGAGGGAGAGAGGGAAGTACTGCCTCAAGCCAAACAGACCCCCCACAGTTTCCTGGTGACGCAGTAAACAAATCTATGATGCTTGTTGAATAATCTTCCAATAATTGCAGTCATTAAAATCATCACAGTCTCCAGTCACCTTCCTTCCTCTGACATACCAGTCTCTCCTTTAATTGTCAGTGCATTTTTGGCTCAGATAAACAGATCAAGGCAAGCTTGGAATAGAAGGTCCAGTCACACACAGCAGACAGTTGTGCAGCAAAGCAGCAAAGGCGTGGACTGCTCTCAACAGACCAGGGACTTTCAGTTTCTCCTGGAAACCTTCCAGAGGCTAGAATGCTTTGCCCCACCTGGCATTTCTACATAGGAGTGACAGACACCTTTGAGGCAGAGACAGAAAAAAAAAAAAAAAAAAAGATGAACAGTCTCATTGGCCTAGCAAGGGTTGGGCTACAATAAGGAAGGGCGTTATAATGAGTATTAAATAAAAACTTCACAGTAATGAAATTGTGGGAGAGTCCTTCAATTTTCAATTAATTTTCTTGATCCATTTGAACTCAAGACTGGGTGCTTTTAAAGGCATAAATATATGTTAACTATAAAAGATCCCAGTCTAATCAAAGGCTGTATTTCATTTTCACTCACACTGACACGCTCCAGCTGAGGGAAGGGTGCACAGGACTCAACAGGCGCTAAAGGCTGCCCTGCCCCCCCCTTCCTTGCTCAAAGCAGGCAGCAACCATACAAATGCAGCTTTTTTTTTTTTAAACTGAAGTTATTATGTTTCTCCCCAACTCCCACACCGTGCTGACCTGATAATCACTGCTCTGGTGTAGATCATGCAAATGAAAAGCATAATTAATTGCACAAATGATTCAAAACGGGTGCCTCTGGGGCTTAGCAAATAAATAAATAAAGGCAGGTGGGAGGACAGGTCAGACAAATGCTTTTATGGGCGCTCTCCCTCTTACCCCCGCCCCCGCCCTGCATCCTAGTTCCAGTGGCCCAGGCTTCCACTGAAACCAGCCCCACCAATTTGAGAAGCCTTTGGTTCCTCCCCTCCCAACGCCTCCCTTCCTGCCTATGTCCTGCGCCTCCAGCTACACCTTACCCCACGTCAGTGTTGCTTGCCAGCTTCTAACCTGCGCGGAGACCAGGCTGCTACCTAATGTTTACCCAGCTATGGTATGGAGGAGGTCAGAAAATATCTGGTCTTCGGGATCGCCACGCTGCCTGCATCGAGCATCTATGGCACAGGCGCGTGGATCCCGGATGGGAGCTCAAGATGAAACTGTTTCCCTAGCTTCGCCTCCAAAACACCACAAACTTGAGCAGTTGCTCAGATCAAAGCCCTTCGGAGAGCCAAAATGGGAGAAACAACATTTGTGCAAGGGAAGTGAACTCTTCCCTTTAATTGTTCCATTCTTTATTGGGCTTTGCATTGGATCTTTTTTTTTCTTTTTTGCGAAAAAACCATGTTGATTTAACCATAGTGTATTTACCATGTAAATATATGCCGAGATGAAAACGTCACGGATCAATTGTAAAGGACCCGGATACATAATTTTAAAAAATCAGTTTCAGTGTATATGAGGTTCTCACCCCACTTTCTCTGCTCAGTCAGATTTGTTTATGCAGAATCGACATTTAATAGTGCTAATTGCACTCCAGTTAAATTGCCCTGATTGCAGAAAGGGAAGCAATTTTCGTGCTCTCTGTCTGGGTTTGGAAGAAATTGTTTTATATTCACCTCTTTATAAAGAAGTGGAGATAAGGCACCGGGGCCTTTGCACAAATTGCACTTAGGGGCTGACTGGCACCATTCAGGCGCTATAATAGAGCATTATTTGGCCGTTTTGAATAATGTAAAGCGTTTGCTGAAAGCCATTCTCCTGAAAATTGCTTTAACTTTTA